CAGGACTTCTTATTTTAAAAGAACTGTTCTCCACCAGAGTAAAAAAGTCTACATCTTTTGTAGTTCGTACTGGCTTGAGAGACCCAGCATAGACTTGCTTGGCTTAGTTGTTAATCTAAAACTTTTGTATGAAGATATGCACCAAATGCAGGAGGAGTTCACAATTAGTTTGATGTTCGTGTGACACACAACAAGGCATATGCCCCAGACACTCAGTGTCACCACACACTCAAAAAATCACTGCTCAGCATTGAACATTGAGATCTTTCAGACTGAAAACCAAGCAAAAACCCATGATAATGAAAAAGGTAGAAATTATCCTGATTCAATACTGGATGCAGTGACCTTCCAAGATTCCTTTCACATCTATGATTTTAGAATAGGAGTGGTATTTCGGCCCTTCAAAGACATCAGTGAAACAAAGGGAATAACTTAGAAGATTATTCACTTCTTCATCCATTTCTTATGTTGGATACCTTACTGCAGATTTGTATAGCTGGCTTCCACCGGGCATAATGTTATGTGTTTCCTTGTTGCCCACTACTGTTTTATTTAAAATACTTCTTTTATTCTTTAAAATACTTTTTATTCTTTAAAATTCAGATGTGTATTCTCTTCCCTAGAAAACTGAGTGATTGTCTTCAGGATTGAAAAGTCATAGAAGCAGATGGGTCTAATTTGTTTCTCGGGATAGGAGAATGACCTGTGATACTGAGCGCTGTTTTGGATTTCTGACCACTCAGTCACCTGGGCTGCAAGATTTATGTTGGTTCATATGGCTGCCAATGGCATTGCTTCCTCCTGCTCTTAGTTAAGAAACAGTCTTAATCCTGGGGCCCTAGTGGCTGGACTGCTTTCCTCGATTCTGTTTGTTGTGAAGCAAAGTTAAAAAGTAATTAAGTAACTTTAGCTGGAGATCAGTTCAGTGTCTTAAAACTTCATAATCATAGCATTTTCCACGAAATTTATATCCACAGTTCATGGGCTTTTTAAAGCCTCAAAATAGGAATGTAAAAGTTATGTTAGTGAAGAACTGTCAGTAGTTTAAAATGGTATTTCCTACTATTCAGCAATATGATAAACAGACTAAAACAATCAGGAAAACGTAATTATGGTGTTCTATTTATTCTACTAAAGACCCATTACTACAGTAAAAAAGCATCTGCAATATTAAAAAAATGGGCCAGCAGACAATACTGAATATATAGTCACTTACAGTAACATTTTTTTTAGTTTCAAGACAGAGTATGCTCCAATATTTGTCACTTCTTGTGCATGTTGATAGGGCTGTTATGGTTTAAGGGTTAACAGCCTGAAAGGGAAGGACAGGTGGTGTCTGTATGACCCTGGGGAGTCAGAGATCAGTACTGTTCCCTCTCCTTTCCGGCCACAGTCTAAAAAAACCAAGGAGGCCCGAGGTTTTCGCGGGCTTTTCCTGGCTTCCTGGGCTGCTTCCTGGGTGGTTTCCTGTCGCATCTCAGGACGGCAGGGCTTATTTCCACGTGTTCGGCAGCATCCACCACCATCCACTCCCGGCACCACTTCGGTCCCTGGTGACGAGTCACAGCAGTCACAGCGGCCACAAGGCACTGCTCGGACACTTCCAGTCGGGGCTACTGGGCTCGGGGTTTGTATATAGTTAAATATCCTTTGTCCCTTATTAATTCTCTTTTTCCTTTCTCCTGTTGTTTTTCATTAAACTTGTTACAGTCTTAACTTCCAACCTTGTGTGAAGCATCTTTTTCTCTATTCCCTTTTTTTTTAATCCTCCCCTGGGAGGGTAGGGGACAATAGAGAGAAAATCCTGCTCCCTGGCCTTGCCCTGAGCCTTAAACGGAGGCAGGGCTAGTAAGCTCAGGTGAGGGATAATAGTGACTGCCACTGTCACTTTCATCTCTCTCTAAATCTCAAAATCCATCACTAGGTCAAGGAAATCCTCCCCTAATATCCATGTCCTTCCTTGGGAATAATTCAGAGAACGGCATACAGGACTGGCTGTTAAATTCAACAATAAGGGATTTGTTTATGAAATGTTGATTATATTTAGCTTCTCATCATGGATCTGCTTCTGTAGTAAGGAAACGTGGTTGATTTAAAGGACTGAAATCACTATTAGAAGCAGCAGATTACGTTGCCAAGGTAAGCATGTGCACTACTGAAACTGTTTATTGCAGAACTGCTAAGGACTTTTTGCACGTCAGAAAAGAGAGAATTTGCTGCAACACACTGCTTATTTTAATGCTAATCAAGAGTTTTTCTGTTTTTGTAAAGGGAAATCTTTATATGATGCCAAATTCTGTTTCAGGATATCCTTACTCAAAACATTTTCTCTTTGCATTTTATCAAAAATAATGACTAGAGAAGGGAATATGGTAGACCAGTAAGAATGTGAGAAACAGGTAAAATAAAAGAGCAGAAGAGATGGATGCTGATTTTTCATTCACTACAGTCTGTAAAGGGTTAATAGTGCCTTCGTTTTCTCGTAGCCCTACATATTTTGATCTACAGTAATTAATATAGTTAGTTTTTAGGTCATGCTGTTTGAACACTCAGTTGTTTATCATAATAGTCACATTTAAAAATTCAAGTTAGTAAAATCAAATTATTTGTAGATTATATAAGAAAAACAGTACCATAAAAATCTAAAATACCTCTAAAGCAAGCGTTTATCTGTATTGCCTTCCAGACTTACTACCTAAATAGGATAATGTGAAATTAGGATTGGTCTATTAAAATAAAATCAGTGTAACAATTTGTGACAATGTATCAGTTTAAGAAAAACTTGTATGACTACAGAATAGGAAACATGGTAGTGATACAATTTAGTGAAAACCCTCTGAAATATTCTTTGAAAATCCTCTATAATACAATTTAAAAATGCATTAAGGACCCATGGAGTTTAACAGGTCATTTTCTACTGTTCCCAGTGCTGGGGTTTTGTCACACACATGCTGTAATGAGGTAACCACCATCCCCAAACCAGGAGCAATTACTGTGTCTGTTCAACTTGCACTGGAGGAAGCCAGACGAATTTGTTGACTTGCACAGAAAAATCTCTTTATGTGAAAACAGGGGAATGCAGAGGATACCGATTTTTTTCCCAATCTCCAGACTACATACTTTGGATGGGTCTGGATTTTTGTACATGTTCTATTTTACCACACTTCTCATTGTCTTTAACCTCTACTACACCTGCAAATCAGTATATCTGGATAACACAAAGTCAAAGAAGGGTTTTCTTTGCTCTTGAAGGAGCTTCTAAAGAAGACTCAAAGAGCAAAGCTAAACGTGAAAAATGGGTGCCTATGCTGGTACTGGAAGTCCTCATGTGAACTGGCTCATTTAGAGCCCACTCTGTTGGAGGAATGATTTCACTTGAGATTGATACATTTGCATGTGTCTGGTGCTGAGTGATTGGAAGTGGTTGGACACGGCTTCATTTTGCACCATTATTTGTGAGCTGGGTGGACCGCAGTGTGGCTCTGTGGAGGATATAGGTTAAATCAGGATGGAATTTTTTGTGCTAGCATTAGCAGAGCTTTCAGAGCACCTGTAAGCAGACATAAAGCTCCTTAATTCAACCTGGCATACTTTCAATCTCCACAATTTCAAACACAATTTATCCTTGGAGTAAGTCAGTAGAAACACTATTACAGATTTTAGGCTCCCAGTGAATCTAACCTATTTTTTAACTAAGTCTTAGAAACTTAGAATCTTTTTATGTGACATCTTAGACCTGATCCTTGCTCTTAAGCATTTAAAGCCTGACCATCAATGTTGGACTACATTTAGGACTCTTTGTGGAAGAACATATCTTATTCTTCAATCTTTATCTTTCTGTTTCATTGAATGTTGTATATTGTTGCATTATTTTTTGCACCATGTGTCATTCATGTCTGATGGCAGCTGGAAACACGGGTTTTCTCTCCTATTCCCTATATAGAAATATTTTTAGTTTCGTTGACTAATAAGGAAAGCCAGGTAAATCTGGCAGTAATGTGGCAGCTGGATCATCCTGCTTTTCCTTTGGAGTGTGCTTCATTACAGAATGGAAGTACTTTCTTTAAGACTGATTCATTCTATGGCCATTGACCTCACTTATCAGTGGTACAGCCACTCATCTGTCAGTTTATGGCTTACAGACATCTCTATACTCTGATTTCACATGTGAAGGGATATTGTTGCTGCAGTGGATAGCACCTGTTTTATGGCCCTGTCAAGAGCAGATCACACTTGTAGACACAATTCATGCCCAAAGAGTTGCCAGTCTCAGTGATGATGAGATATACCTGAGAAAAGTGTAAGAATTGCGGCAAAAAGGGAGAGCAGAAGTTATGCACGCTACATTTTCATTTTTTTTAATGTTGAGATGAACAAAACAGCCACAAACAGCCACTAACATTTCCATTTAGGCATTTACGTCTGACTTGCTATGTCAGTAAGGAAACCCTACTACCTCAGCCTTTAAATTTCTAGTTACAGAACCTATTTTTTGCTCTCAACAGGGTATAACTCTCAGATGTCAGACATGGATGCTACCTAGTCTGGTTTTCAGGATGTCACCTGTGCATGAATCTATGTATTCATCCTGATATAATAAATTATTAGCCTTCTGTTCAAAACCAAATGAAACAGCAGTAGGCACTTCAAACACAGTTGTCTAAATATTTTCTAAGTACGTGATTAAGCTCAGGAGAAAGACCTAAATTAATGCTTCCTTGAAAAGAAAGAGGTGTTGAATATTCTTGTTAGCAGCAGTTTTCTGGTCATTCAGTACAATGAGGCACAGTGCTCTTTCTTGTCTGGTGGAAATGTCGTGATAGAGAGGAAACTGGAAATGCTACTGTTGGTTTTGGGAGAAGCAAGAATATAAAAAATTCATCTTAAGGAAAAAAACCCAACAAACCCAAACCTGCTTGTTACTTTTGCCAGTTGTGAAATGACTTGATTCTTTTTAAAATCAGTCTTCCTCAATTTCCCAAGGTAAGACAAACTTGACCATGAAGGTCGGAGTGATTGAGACCCACCACTCCCACACAATTGTTCCCAGTGTGGTAGTGCAAGACACAAGTGAGGACCCTGGACTGATGAACAAAAGGGAAAACAGGTATGTCGAATTTACCATTTTGTGTCTGTTGGTTTTTTCTTTGATAATTTGCATGCTATTAACTGAGCACAGATACTTGCCATCATCTAATTTTCTTCACCTTTTATTAAAAAAATAAGTTTTTAAGATTGTGACATATTGATTATTGTAAATATTTAGGGCACTAAAATCTGTGCTCTTTCAATTTCCTTAGATAACTTAGGCCATGATTTAAATTGTGACAATTTAGATTAAATGCCTTTTTCACCAGATACCATATTAACTATGTTGTTTTGCTGTTCCCTAGGCAATGGTATCTACCTGGTGCATTTGCACACTACAATATTAACAACAATAGTAATAAAGACGAGTAAGTATCATCTTTGCCATTTCATAAGATGAGAGTATTGCAATATCAGTTGTTCAAGCAGCAATGAAAAAGTATTATATATCTAATAATTTCTTTGTAAATAGATACGTCATTCAAGCAGTCCTGAAAAAGACTATATGTTCCTTTGAATTTCATGCACATCAATTATGATAAACATTCTTAATACTAAAGATATTGGCATTATATCTATTAATTTACATTAAAAGTACTTCTATATGAATACAATAAGCAAAATAGGTTTTGAAGTCCGAACACCTAAGTATAATTTATCCTTACTGAGTTCAGATGATTCTAATAAATGAATGTGAAAGCAATGGCTATGTGAATCCCATGAGCCTACTGTTTCTTTTTCCTTAGAGAAGAGAAGAAAAAGAAAGAAAAGAGGTAAGACAAAAAGTAGTAGTACTACTACTTCTGTGACATTTAATTTCTGTCCAAATATGTTTTTGCTTAGTCTGTAACAACTGAAAATGTAAATCTATTTCTTAGGAAGACAGAAAAAAGAAAGGATGGAGAAACACAAAAGAACAAGGAAAAAAAGGAGAAAAACAGAAATAAAGATAAGTCCAAGAAGAAAGAAAATAAAGAAGCGTAAGTATTTTTAATTTAGGTCCTGCTATGTTAGACTAATGAAATTGCTTTTGATGTAAAACTGAATAAGTTCATGGACATCCTGTAAACAAGAAGTTTACACTCCAGTGAATGAGTGTACAGACTGCAGTTATTCTCTCTAGAGTAGAGCTGTTCTGACTTAACTTCATATATGGACAACAGAAATATGCATGCATAGAACTGATCTGAAAAAAATAATCAAGAAAAATCTCCTTTGGATTCTGTTTATCCAGTATTTTTTGGATAACACCCTGCAGCAAAAGATGGGACAGTGTAAATCAATTTGTTCTGCACATAAGGGCACCTACAAGTAAACTCTCCTATGATCTAAAAGTTTTTGCTTTACCTTTGCTTGGAAATTTCATAATTCTCCGGCCGAAGAAGACAAACTTAAAATACTGTAGTAGGAGCTTGTGCTGTATGATTTTACATTCTTTGGTTTCTTTACTGATACTATGCCAGTGTTTCATCTTTCTCAGAGTTAGACTTTTCTCAGTGACAAAGGCATGATTTGTCTCATTTAAATATCAGTAATCACATAATAATGCTACCTTTTGAAAGACTACCAAATCAACTATCAGACAAGATAGTTGATTGGGTAGGAAATAAACTAATGTTAAGAGGTTGAAATTACATGCTCCACTACAAACTGAAGCAGGACTGTCAAGCTGATTTTTCTCAGCAAAATTTAGATTCTAAAGTTTGCATCCCAACTCACACTTAACTTCATGTTCTCAATGCATTCAAGCAACTTCAATGAAGACCACTGATTTTAATTAATAACAATTTCTGGAATGCTTCATTCCTCAAAAACTGTAATGTGTATTTTAAGCCTCTCATTACATCTCCTTTTTTTTCCTGTCTATCCCTTAGGAAGAAGAAAGATATTTTTATTATTGATCCAGCAGGAAATATGTATTACAACTGGTTGTTTTGCATCACAATGCCTGTCATGTACAACTGGACCATGATTATTGCTAGGTGATGCACTCCTTTAATGACTATATAAAACTTCTGGCAAATTGTAATGTCCCTAAATAAATAAAAAATATTTTATTCATCACTGATTTCATGCAAGTTTTTAATTTTCATTTCATGTTAATTTACTTTTGTCTTTTCCTATTCAGAGCCTGTTTTGATGAGCTTCAGCACGACTACTTAGTAGCATGGTTTATTATTGATTATGTTTCTGATGCCATCTATATTGCTGACATGTTTGTACGGACAAGAACAGGTAGGTGTACTCAGTGATTAATTATTGCTCTTCATATGTTTGTGTCAAGACAAATTAAACATGCATTGTGGCCAAGTAACGATCAGGGATTCTGAAAAATTAGCACCTAAATCTGGATTTTGTATTTACAGAGATTCAAGTGTTTGCTTGATTTTCAAGACCATTGAGCAAGCTAGACATCCAATTAACTTCAGCTGCAACTGTTTCTTTTAAAATCTTACCCTACATTCAGAGTTATTGAGTAGAGACACTCAATATGGACCTGAAATTCCCATGTTCAAACTCTTTTCCCTCATTAACCACCCTTCCTATAGCCTGTGGGGTTTTAGGGGGGTTGGTTTTTTTTCAAATGTTCACCACAGTGAAAAAGTGGAGGGAAAGACTCAAAGCTAGAAATGTTTAATTTTCAAAGCTGTAGAATTTAGCTTAAACTGAACCATATAGCACTAAGTTGAATATTTGGAAGTAAGAAATTGCTTATTAAAAAGTAAAAGAAGTTATGTATCATCTGGAACTTGCACCCAAGATATTTTTCAAAGTAGATCTGGATTGACATTAAACATAACAAAGTTAAAGTCATAACGTTTTTTATTATTTAAAATTTGATTTTAGGTTACCTGGAGCAAGGTCTTCTGGTGAAAGAAGAAGAAAAGCTTCAAGAGAAATATAAAACCTCATTTCAATTCAAATTAGATTTTCTGTCAATCATACCAACTGATCTCTTATACTTTAAATTAGGACTGAACTACCCAGAATTAAGAATAAACAGACTACTCAGAGTAGCTCGGATGTTTGAATTCTTCCAGCGAACAGAAACAAGGACAAACTACCCAAACATCTTCAGGATCTCTAACCTTGTCATGTACATTGTAATTATTATTCACTGGAATGCCTGTGTATACTACTCGATCTCAAAAGCCATTGGATTTGGGACTGACACATGGGTCTACCCCAACATCTCTGATCCTGAATTTGCCCGTCTGACTAGGAAGTACGTCTACAGTCTCTACTGGTCAACACTGACCCTGACTACTATCGGTGAAACACCACCTCCTGTAAGAGATTCTGAGTATTTCTTCGTGGTTGTTGACTTCTTGGTTGGAGTATTGATTTTCGCTACCATTGTTGGTAACGTGGGCTCTATGATCTCCAACATGAATGCTGCCAGGGCAGAGTTTCAAGCAAGGATTGATGCTATCAAGCAGTATATGCACTTTCGGAATGTCAGTAAAGACATGGAAAAAAGAGTTATAAAGTGGTTTGACTACCTGTGGACAAACAAAAAGGCTGTGGATGAAAGGGAAGTCTTGAAGTATCTGCCAGATAAACTAAGAGCAGAGATTGCAATTAATGTTCACCTAGAAACATTGAAAAAAGTTCGGATTTTTGCAGACTGTGAGGCTGGTCTGTTGGTTGAACTAGTTTTGAAACTCCAGCCGCAAGTATACAGTCCTGGAGATTATATTTGCAGAAAAGGAGATATTGGACGAGAGATGTACATTATCAAAGAAGGCAAGCTGGCAGTAGTCGCTGATGATGGAATGACCCAATTTGTGGTCCTAAGTGATGGCAGCTATTTTGGAGAAATCAGCATTCTTAATATCAAAGGTAGCAAAGCTGGCAATCGAAGAACAGCCAATATTAGAAGTATTGGATACTCGGACTTGTTTTGTCTGTCTAAAGATGACCTCATGGAGGCTTTAACAGAATATCCAGATGCAAAGGCAATGCTGGAAGAAAAAGGCAAGCAAATCCTAATGAAAGATGGGTTGCTGGATATTGAAGTTGCAAATTTAGGAAGTGACCCTAAAGATCTGGAAGAGAAGGTCACCTACATGGAAGGAGCGATGGACAGATTGCAAACAAAGTTTGCCAGGTTGTTGGCTGAGTATGAAGCTGCACAACAGAAACTGAAAAAAAGACTTACACAAATCGAGAAAATATTGAAGCCAGTTATAGAGCAAGAATTCGCAGTCTTAGAAGAAGCAGATCCATCCACAGATAAACTTGGAGTGTCAAAAGCGGAATAAAACACTGGAGGTTGCCAATAAGACTTAGGGTCAAATCCTGCATGGGCCCGATTACATTGATTTCTAATCTTTGTAGGACCTGACTATTAATTAGGAAAAATTATTTACTGAGGTACTATCACTAATTTCCTACAAGCAGCACATATTTGGCAGGTTTCAGAAAGAAAAAGAATTGAGAATAAGGACGGAAGAAAACACCTTTCTTTTGCACGAACAGATGGTATTATCTGCTAATGCAGTATGTACTCTTTATGTAACACTGCTCTACAGCAAATGCATGCACTCTATATACAGTCTTATATTGGCAAATATTTAAAGTTTTGCTAACTATTTTAAAACGATTACTTCATGTCTACTTATGGAAAGAAGGAAAGCTTTGGTAAGAATTGTATTAATTATTTGAAGTCAATATAGGCATGAACCATGATATTAATTTTGTGTATAAATAAACACATTTTAATATCTATTGATCAAGATAAGATTAATTAAGTATGGGATATTACATAAAGAATTAGGTATATCTACAATGCAGATGTGCGTACTGAAGGCTGTAAGATTTGAAAAATATTATCACTTAATTGGGTTCATCTTGGCTGATTTGTTGAAATGTAAGTGGGCAGTTTTAAATGGTCCTTTTTTCAGGATATTACATGCAAAGGCTGGACTAGAGAGGGGACAGAATACAACTTTTTGCAAGCATCAGTATGACAAATATGGATGGCTCAAAGTCTAGCTGGTCTTTCCACAATAATAACAAATATGTAATATCAAAGACTGTTCTGCTCCATGTAATCATACGGCTGGAGAACATGGACTATCAAGTTTTAAAGATCTGTGCTTAGAAATTTTTATGTCCCTAGTGTAACACTGTGGATGCTGGAAGACTGCAAAGGGCAGAGATGACAAAAAGAGGCCAAACTCTGCCTACAGCATCTTCTGTAGCTGCTGTGGGGGAAGGAATACAAGGACTAAATGGGCTATTTTTTTCCAGTGATAGCGTATTTCTTTATTCTGTTCCCAACTACTACTCAGATAGTAAAATGTACTCTTTCATATGTCAGACACGTTTTCAGCTGCTTTAAGAAGCATTATCTCCTTGGATTTATTCCCTAATTTCTGTATTTTTCACTGGTAAAACTGGTCTTATTAGTTGTGTATTTTCAGCTGTGTATTTTCAGTAGACTTTGATCATAGCCATATAATGTCAGAAAAGTTTAATGACAGGGAGTGGCAAAAGGGACTGCAAGGAGAGAATGGATAATTATGTATTCAGGGCAATTGGACTGCCACTCTTAAAAAATACATATGTAAATACTACTGTCACTTGAAAATATCTCTATACTTCCATTCTTCTACTTAGTAAGATGGAGATTATATGAACTGGCTCTTTTGTAAAGCACGTTCATTTCTGGTTGTTTTGTTTTTTGTAATGTTGATAGATTTCCAGAATGCTAGAGTTTTAGAAATAATTCCTGATTTCAATACAAGGATTAAATGCTATGAAGTAATGAAAGCATAAGATATATATGAAACAACAAGGACAAATGTAAATATGAAACAGCTGTTCATTCACTGTTGGTCCTGCACTTTGAATGACATAACATGCTGTTGAGAGAAAAGAGTATGCTGCAATTTCATTAAAGACTCTATCCGTGCACACACAAATAAGCATTATTCTGGCATTTAACAACATTGCAAATTTTGGACTTTGCAATCACCACTCTTCAGTCTTGAATATAATTTGTAATTTGCATGGCAGCAGCATCCTACAAGTCTGTGCCCTATTTCACTAAGCACTTAGGAAGCACTTTTCTTCTTTGTTAAAGAGTTTAAGACTTTGTATTAGAGAAATGTGTGATACGATGATGGGTTTTAATAAAGGCAGAGACCTACTGTTCACATTTTTTCTTTTATTGATACTTCAGTCTACATGATTTGTAACTTGCTGTCTCTTGAGTATAAAAACTTTTATTTAAAACACCTCAAAATAAGACAGAAAACCAGAATTGATCTCCAGTCAATTTTCAGACACTTTATTATTAGAAATCTTGTAATATTTAACTTTTATAAACACATATTTGCTGAAAAAAACCCAATCCTAAATGCAGATTTTTCTCTTGGCACAAGACAGAATGTGTTATAAAGAAATGCCTCTAAAATTAAAACGATTTTAACTTGCACTTATTTGTCAGAACTTTTCAGGAGGCACACAGGTTCCTCAATATGTATTTCTGTGCAGTAAAACCTTCTGGATACACTTTGGTAAAGTTTCTAAACACACTCAGTGGCTGGTTTTTAACTCGTGTACTCTGAAAGAGGAGCTATGAAGAAAACACACACAAGAGCCACACACTACAGAAACGGCTGCCAGAAATTTACTCTGGAGAAAAGGAGGCCTAGACCTTATTGCTTTCTACAGCTACCCGAAAGGAGGTAGCTGAGGTAGAGAGGTAGGTGTCAGTCTGTTCTCTCAAATAACAATTGATAGGACAAGAGGAAATGGTTTCACGATGTGCCTGGGGAGGTTTAGGTTGGGGATTAGGAAAGATTTCTTCTCTGAAAGGGTTGTCAAGCACCGGAACAGGCTGCCCAGGCACGTAGTGGAGCCACCACCCCTGAAGGTGTTTCAAAGTCGTGTAGATCTGGCGCTTAAGAGACATGGTTTAGTGGTGGAGCTGGCAGTGTTAACGGTTGGGCTCGATGATCTTAAAGGTCTTTTCCAACCTAAACGATCCTGAGATTCTGTCTATCGCTACCAAATCCCATCAGAAAACGCTCCGGAGCCGCTGTAAAAGACAGCGAAAGCCACTGCTTCTGCAGCAGGAGCGGCTAGCAAAAAGAAATCCAACCGTCACGCACTAAGGACACGCCAGCCTGCAACTCTATACCTGAGCATCGCGGACGGAGCATGCTTCCTCCACGTCTCGCGAGCCCTAGCTACTAGCAACTTCACGCAGCGGCTGCGATAGGCCGGCGGCCGCGTGGCGTTCCGGTGCACCCTGGGTGCTGGAGTCCCCCAG